TAATCTAGGGTCCTGAAGATTTTACTCCTGTGGTTTCTTCTCAGAGTTTTATTGTTTTAGCTCTTGCGTTTAGGTCTCTGATCCATTTTGAGTTACATTTTTTGTGTATGTGGTAGAGATTTGAATGATTTAAAATTTTTTCTCAGTCTTTACCTTGGACTGAATATACTGTTTTTACTTTTTCTTACTGAGATGATAATGTAGGTACAGTCAGAAGGTGGCTTCTAAAGTGGCAGGTGAAGTTTTTGTAGAGAGGAATTGGTGAAAGGAAGAATACTCTGCTAATGTGTATGGCAAATGTAAGATACACGGGTCAGAATCCTATGAGGTGCCAGGGCATGTCATAGAACCCAGTTTTTTTTTTCTTTTAAAGATTTTATTTATTTATTCATAGACACAGAGAGAGAGGGGCAGAGACACAAACAGAGGGAGAAGCAGGCTCCACGCAGGGAGCCCGATGTGGGACTTGATCCCGGTCTCCAGGATCACACCCCAGGCTGCAGGCGGCGCCAAACCGCTGCGCCACCGGGGCTGCCGTATAGAACCCAGTTTCATGTGTCCTAGTAGTAGTAGCTGGTGGACAGCTATAATGGGCTTACTTGGTTTTCTCCTCAGGGGTCTCTCTTTTTGGCTTGTCTGCCCTGTTGGTCCCAGGAAACTTTGAGTCTCATTTGGAACTTGTGAAGTCCCTGTGCCTGGGGCCATCTCTGATCTACACAGCCAAGTTTGCACTTGTCTTCCCTCTCATGTATCACACCTGGAATGGGATCCGACACTTGGTAAGTTAATTGTGGATATACATTTTCTGGGTGAACGGGGTATAGGGGGGTGTAGGATTCTCTCCTTCATTGCCTGGGTTTAGTGCTGCCCCTATTGTTGTCTGGACCTTTGTTCAGGGGCCTGTTGGGGAAAGCTAAACTAGACCTATGTGCACTTCTTGACAGCCCTGCTGGTGTCCAGCTGAGCTCTGGGTGTAGGTCTGGCCATTACCTGCAAGGTCTCAGTTTGAACTGTCCCGTTTTTAAGAGACTAAAAGAGACCCCTGAAGCCAGGTCATCCCACTGACATAGAAGGCATATTGACTAGATAATTAATTTGTACGTACTATGTGTCAGGTTCTATGCTAGCCCCTGGGCTTCTGAGCTAGGTGGTCACTGCTTTCAGTGTAACATTCCTGTCAACCCAGAGTGACAAGTGCAGCTGGAGCCATATATATTAACTTTTGTCATCTTGACATTGGATTGTGTTAACTGCTTTTGGGTTTTGTTGAACTCTTGGAGAGAATGGGGCCAATTTTATCAGCAACTGGGTACCTAGGATCCCAGACTTTAATATTGGGGGTAAGGAATATTTGGATAAAGGATAAAGTAAAAACACTGGCCTGAAAACTGTCCGTGCTGCCTCCTACGTGACTTTTGGGTCAATTCAAAACTAGTGTCTCCTTTTCTCCTTCTCTCTTTTAAAAAAATTGTTATTATTTGTTTTAAATTTTATTTATTAGAGAGAGAGATTGAGAGTGCGTGCATGTGTACGTGGCGCCTGTGCACATGGGGAGGAACAGAGAGATGGGGACAGGCAGATGAGTGTCCTTAGTGCAGAGCCTAGACAGGGCTGGACCCCAGGACCCTGAGATCCTGATCACCAAGAGTCAGACTCAGGGGCCCTTCCTTCTCTTTAAAAAGGAATTAAAGCTCAGTCATGCCTACCCCAGGTCAGAGATCAGTCCCTCCTCCAGCATTTTAAGATTTCATGTTTTGTGGTCTCGCTACCCTTAGTCTTGCTTTCTTCCCCAAGAACAGAGTTATGATTCCATTCTGTCTTGTCTCAGTCCCTTCCTAACATGAGCCATCTGGGAGGTGGATACTGTTGCCTTAATCTGACCTTTATAACTTCCACATCAGAATCCAGAGACAAGCACTTTCGGAATTTCAGTCTGGTCCAATAAACAGTTTAATGGAATCAGAAAAGTGAGAGATGAAATGACCTATTTAATTAAGTGTATCTATAGCTGTTCCCTGGGGCAGTGTTCAGTTTGATTCACAATGACTTCACTTCCCTCCGGGAGGGGATGGAGAGGGAGGGCATTTCCATTAATGACATCTTATTCCACAGAACAAATCCTCTAATGAAAATCAGCTGATCAGCTTCCTCTGTTCACATCCTGGCTCTAGTGGGGCTGGCCATATATTTGCTTTTGTCTCGGTATGAGGGGAGGGGAAGAGGTTTTGCAAAATCTCAGAACTCACTCAAGGTTTTCTGCCTGGGTTCCTGCCTGTCATGGCAATCTCTTTGTTGAGAAGAGTGAAGAGCCTAAAGGCTTTTCTTAAGCCCTTAAATCTGCTTTTATTTTTTCTTGTAGCAAGTACTGGCTCTGAGTGTGGGACAGGATTTGATCTGTTCTCCATGATAGACAGTCCTAGCTTTTGCCCCTCTGAACTTGGTCAGAATTGATATAAAGGAGTGGGAAGTGACAGCGTCCCTGGCATTCTAGACAGTACCTCCCCATCACCACCAGGCAGTAGAACTTGATTTTTTTTGGTAAAACACTGTGCCTGTATAAGCCAAATAGCTCTATAGTGGAATCTCCTAGACTCCTAATCTAAACTAAGTAGAGGCTTATTCCTTACTCCCCCATCCTCGTTCCCCCCAGCTCTTAACTTTTCTCTTTTTTTTTTTTTTAAGATTTTATTTATTCATGAGAGAAAGAGAGAGACAGAGACATAGGCAGAGGGAGAAGCAGGCTCCACGCAGGGAGCCTGCTGTGGGATTTGATCCCGGGACTCCAGGATCATGCCCTGGGCTGAAGGTGGTGCTAAACCGCTGAGCCACCCGGGTTGCCCTCTTAACTTTTCTCTTAATTACTCCTTTAGTTTAATGTTCAAAGTGTGCTGGGGTGGGATCCTGGGGTCCTAGGATCCAGTCTCACACTGGGCTACCCCGGGGAGCCTGTTTCTCCCTCTGCCTGTGTCTCTTACTTCTTTCTGTGACTCTCATGAATAAATAAATAAAATCTTAAAAAAAAAAAAAACCACGAAGTGTGGGCATTTGTGTTGTATTGGGGCAGTCAAGCGTGGAAAGCATAGAACCTAAAAATTCTACTTTTACCTTAGGGGATCTTTTAATGACTTAGAGTATAATACATTAGTATCCGTGGAGCACAAGAGAGGCTAGATCAGTGTTTTTAAAACCCTGGTTTTTATGTAGTGGGTAGAAAAAAAATCAATTTTTAGTGGGTTGTTATCAACAAAACCAGGAATTTAGGGGCCCCTGGCTGGCTCAGTTGGTAGGGAGTATGACTCTTGATCTTGAGGTCATGAGTTTAAGCCCCACATTTGGCGTAGAGCTTACTTTAAAACACACACACACCCTGGAAGTTTAATAGCATATAATATGTAGAATGCAGCACACATACTAATGGCAAATATTGCTTATTCTTTCATGAACTTTTGCTATAAATACACTGGCAAACAAAATTGGGAATTAGTGTTATAGATCCCAGAGGGGTTTTTTTGTTGTTGTTTTTGTTTTTAGAATATTAGTTCTCTGACAGCTCTTACTTTTCAAGTGGTGGGAGGGGGGGTCTGTGCCTGACTGTATCTGAGAAATCATCATGTATCTTATATTCCTGTCTTGCAGCTAAATGTTTACTAAATCTATTTGACCTTGAAGCTTTTCTCCCCCATATAACACCTTTAGCATTCTGAGGAACTAGTTTGTGGAGGAACACACTTAGGGAAGCATTGATTTGGTTGTGTTGTCATGAGGGAATTTTATCTCTTAGGTCTGGAAGCTTTTATATGTATGGGCTATATTTTGTACGTATACCTTTTCCTGTCACTGTGAGGGTGGTGGGTACCGTGTTGTGGGTTTTGGGAAAGGTGAAGGTGGGTGCTGAAGTGCTGTTTCCTTGAACCATGCAGGGAGGAGTGGCCCGTTCCGTGAGGTGGAGCTCCTTTCTTAGAAAGGAGAGTACCCTGGATGCTGATTGCTGAAATTCTTCCTTTTTTTTTTCTTTTCCTTTTTTGCAGATATGGGACCTAGGGAAAGGCCTGAAGATTCCCCAGCTGTACCAGTCTGGAGTGGCTGTCTTGGTTCTTACTGTGTTGTCCTCTGTAGGGCTGGCAGCCATGTAAAGAGCTGGAGTTCCCAGCATTGTTTTCCCATAAATGATTCACTGACCTATCTTCCTGTTTGTCACTCTCTTCTCCAGCAAAGGCAAAATTCTCCTGATTTATTTAGACCCTTTTGTGCCTGCATATTCCCTTGGTGCTTAGGGAAGCAGAGTACCTAATAGAACTATAGCAGCGGGAAAGGGTCCAGTTTTGCTCCCTTGTTTCTGAAGATGGAATGACTCAAAACTTCCCTTTTCCTGCCCCTAGCTTGCAGCCTACTCTGGGCCTTGAAGCCCTCATTCTCTCTCCATATTGGGCCTTGATTTGTGCTGACAGTCAGCTTTTGGCTCCTTCTTCCTGTGACAGTGGAAACAATGCCAGCTCTGTGGCCTCTGCCGTGGGGACTGGGAGTGGGGCTGTGGGTGCCACTGCCTGTGGGTTGCTAGCTTAAAGGACAGTTCTGTTCATTGGTCAGGGTCTTCAGCACCCACACAGTGTGGCTGAAAGAAGAGGGATGGGGGTGGAGGGGAATGAGCCTGTCCCAGCTAGAGGGAGATCAGGAGGGTCAATTGACTCTTAAAGCAGGTTTGGGGAGAAGATATATAGCTTTTAGTGCAAAAGGAAGATCCAGAAAATTACATTGAATCTATTAAGGGTTATTTTTTTCCCCTGCATTTCTGAAAAAACAAGGCTCTTTTCTAATCCAAATTCATGTGACATCTGTTTCTGAAACTGAATTAAAATACTCATTTTGTCTTTGACTCTCCTTGAAATCTAGAGAAACCAAGAGAATCGTGGTTGGGGAGGAGCCAGTTTTTTCCCTTTTCCTCTGGTCCTAGGCATTTTCATCTCCCACTCTGACCTTTCTCAGGAGGGAAACAGCTTGTCCTGCAGCTGACCACTGGAACAATTTTTAGGGAATCAAATGCAAGTAACCAGAGACTGAATATCGTGCAGAAGCCTCAGAGAAGGAAGGAGCAAGAGAAAGGAGGTTAAGCATGTGGAAAGCTTTGCATTATCACAGGGTCCTGAATCCCAGTGAGAACTGCTCATAGACCTCAGGGTGGAGTTCAGCAAATGATGATCCAGTAAGGGAGCCAGAGGACCAGTGGAGGTAGCAGCTGAGGGATGATAAGCTAAGTATATAGACTGGGAGAGAAAGGAGAGCCGAGATAAGAGAGGAGGGATTGTTGAAGACCTGGCAAAAATCTGTAATTTGATGGAGAAACTTGCTGCTTTTAAAACCCCTGTGGGCCAGCCTCTTAAATCCCTAACTACCTTGGCAGGAGTGCTGCTTTGATAGTCTTTGGAATCTCAAGGGTAACAGATCGATCTTGTCTGGAGTTGTTGGGAAACCGGTTAGAGCTGTGGGTTAGAGAGGAGGAATGATGACTGTAATTAGTGGCAGTTGGACAAGAAGACCTCCTGAGAGCTAAGGCCGTGGGGACCTGCTACCTCAGCCGTCTTCCTCCAAGTGGCCCCCAAGTGGTCTTTGGCTTTACATGATGATCACTTCTCCCTTTCTGCTAGACTAGCCCTGGGAAGCCTTTGTAGCCTTCTTCCAGCTTAAACCCTAAGTCCTCTGTGCCTCTCCTTGGAGTAGGGGACAAGTGTCGCAAGGGAACACTTTGGCATTGGAGCTGGGAAAGGCTTGGCAAGGGCATGCAGTTGAACAGCCAGCGTGAGGAAGACACAGAATAGGAGAATGATAAGCAGATGTTGGAAGCTGGGAAGTGGTTGGGGAACTTCTTACCTTTTTGGCGGCTTCTTACCATTTGGGTGATTGGGGTTGGGGTAGAGTGGTCCTCATAGTTGTTATTCTGCCCTGAATAACTACTTACCATCTCTCTCTGGTTTTCTTCTAATCCCTTCTGTATCTTCAGTTTTCAAACTACGTACATAGGTACTTTTGCTTGAGTTTTACTTTCATAACTCTCTAGTTGGTCTGCCCTCTGTTCTGTCATCAGCTGTGAAGTCAGAGATGAGGGTAGTGTCTTCTGTGCTGGCTTTCCATACCTCTTCTTCCCGCATCTTTTCCAGACATGCATACTCTAATAAGCAATTGTATTTCTGACTTGGAAGTTGTAGTTGTGCATGCTCAGGATGAAAAATGAGGGGTTGAGGGTAAGAAACTGGTTCTTTGGGAGGTTTCTTTTGCTATAGTTTTAGTCTTGGTCACTTTTGGAGCAAAACTGACTCAGTCCTTGTAAAAACATGTTCCACCTCGAGCCCCCATCATGATCTTTTTCCTACTTTATTTAACCCAACCCACCTCCTAGTCATGGGTTGTAAGAGGCAGCCGTAACAGGAGGAGAACATTCCAATCAGTAATAGATGCAACAAATGATGTTTATTTTCCAAGTTTGCCTTTATTCCCACCCTATACTTTCCTTGTTCTACATTCCTCACGGGGAGGTCTGGCCGACTTCACTCAGTCTCTAGACAGCTTTTTCTCAGTGTGGTCCTGCGGTGCTTCTGGAGCTCCAGGTTTGCATCTCTGGACCTCAGCTGAACTAGGGTTTGCCCAGTGTTCTGGCGTACACGGGCATCCAGGTGGGGTCTTAAGAGAGCTAACTGGGCTTTGGGGACCTGGAGTGTGACCTGCAGAGGGGTGTGAGCTTTGGGGTTGGTCTGGGGGGTTGAGGTTTGCAGCTGGAGAGCTTGGAATTATGATTGGACTTGGTGCTTGTTGTACCATCTTTGTGAGAGACTTCCCAAGTTTCCTCTGACCGTCTGGATCATGAGGCTGTTGGGTAGAGTGGAAGAGACTATCATGTTTCTGGTCCGGCCTAGATCATTTCCAGTCCATCTTAGAATTCCAATTCCCTATCTCCCTGTACCATGGACAAAAGGACAGATCCAGTCATTTTTGTGCTGTGAGGGAAATAGGTCCTTAGCTCATCTCTTTGGGTCAGCAGATGGGGACTAGGCAAGGGGAGACAGAGCTGGGTAGAGGTTCCCCCTGCTGGAATAGTGGTGGCATAACCAGAGGCATTTCTGAGGTTAACAAGAAATGCAGATAATAGGATTTGAGGTTAGGTGGGAGGAATACTTACCTTGCCGAAGATTTCAGGACGCAGCCCATTGGAGGCCTTGAGCAAATCTGGATTTTTCTGTATCCATTTGGTGAGGGAGGCAGCACCAGCAACTGAACGGGAGGTCAAGGTCACCCGAGCAGGGGGTACCTTCAGAGGCATTTGCCAGGTGCCCATGAAAGATCCCCAGGGACTCTCCTAAAAGGAAGAAGACGAGGTTCTTCACCCAGCGTCTCACTCCCAGTGCTGACCTATTGGCAGATGTGTTCTCTTCCTCCCACCCTTCACCCTTGTGATGCGTGGTGCTGAAATCAGACTGAAAACGGGCTCCCAGTCTCCCCACTCATCCTTTACCCCCTTCCTCATTTAGATCACTCTAATTTCTGCATCACATTAGCTCTGCTGGCTTCACTTAAATTCTGTGTCCCTACGCTAAGTCTGGCAGTGTGCCCCCTGCAGAAGTCTTATCATCATGTGAAGGTGTTCTTCATTCATCGGTTTGAGGAATTCTGGGTGCTAAGCGCAACTTTATTATATTGGATAAACTGGCTGGAAGTTTAGGTGCAGTCACGTTGTAATGGGAATGAGACTGAACTTTAATTTCTGGATAGTGGCTGCGCTAGATTGCAGACCTCCCATCTCAATTACTCCCATTCTGTGCCCTGGTTCTTTACCTTCCCCAGTAGGAATGGGGATCAGTATCTCACCTTGGACCGGGGCACTGAAGGCAACAGATGACCACGATCATTGGCGATAATCTGAGTGTAGCCTTCTTGGGAAGAAATTCTCTGAGGAGGAGGTAAGGAGAGAAGTGCTTGTGAAAAATGGAATAGAAAGGAGAGAATAGGTATCCAAGGGATTTGAGCTAAGGGCTGAGGGAGAGGAGGATATGGGAATTTAGAGGAGGCTAAAGAAATTAGGTGCCAGTGAGTTACAGATACGGTGGGAAGAATCAGATACTGGCTCCGCAGGAGCACATGCAATACCTCTTTTGTTGGCTTGGCCGGAGACCAGTTCTGCAGATACTTGGGTGAGAAAGCTTTTTCATACTGTGGAGAGAAAGATGTGACGCTCAAAGGCCTCATACCCAAGAAATGATGACGAGGCACAGTTCTTTAGAGTTGAGGACCAAATGGCCTATAGAGCCAAGCTAGACTTTAACTCACTATTGAAGGGATATAATTTTTTGGCCTAAATGTATGCTGTTCAACATGGCACCACTAGTCACGTGTGGCTGTTGGACATTTGAAATGTGACTAGTCCCAATGGAGGTGCTTTGTAATTTTGGAGAGTTAGTACAAAAAAAATGTAAACATTATAACTTTTTAAATATTGATTAATCATTGAAGTAATATTTTAGAGTTATTGGGTTAAATATATTATTAAAATTAATTTTGGGGATCCCTGGGTGGTGCAGCGGTTTGGCACCTGCCTTTGGCCCAGGGCGCAATCCTGGAGACCCGGGATCGAATCCCACGTCGGGCTCCCGGTGCATGGAGCCTGCTTCTCCCTCTCCCTGTGTCTCTGCCTCTCTCTCTCTCTCTGTGTGACTATCATAAATAAATAAAAATTAAAAAAAAAAAAAGGAAATGCACTGGGGACCAAAGCAGCTGCTCACTGGTGTTTTTTAAAAAAATAAAAATAAAAATAAATAAAATTAATTTTTTTTTCATGTAGCTACTAGAAAATTTTAAATTACATTTGTGACTCTCATTATCTTTTTGTTGGGCAGCCCTGGTCTAGACTACGGGTCTGCAGACTGTGGCCCATGGGCCACATCCATCCTCCTGTCTGTCTTGGGATGACCTGAGAAAGCAAAAAATGTTTTTTATAGATGAATATTTGCAACTGATTTGAGCTTTGGGTTTGTTTGGTTTTTTTTTTAAGATTTTATTTATTTATTCATAGAGACAGAGAGAGAGAGAGGCAGAGAGAGAAGCAGGCATCATACAGAGAGCCTGACGGACTCGATCCGGGGTCTCCAGGATCGCGCCCTGGGCTGCAGGCAGCACTAAACCACTGTGCCACCAGGGCTGCCCGAAAGAGTAGCTTTGTATCCCAATAAAGTGAAGTGTTTTCTCATCCCAAAAGAATTCTTTTTTTTTCATTAGTATTATAAAAAATTACAGTTATGATATTTTGTTTTTTTTTAAGATTTTATTTATTCATAGACACAGAGAGAGAGAGGCAGAGACACAGGCAGAGGGAGAAGCAGGCTCCATGCAGGGAGCCCGATGTGGGACTCGATCCCGGGTCTCCAGGATCACGCCCTGGGCTGCAGGCGGCACCAAACCGCTGCGCCACCAGGGCTGCCCACAGTTATGATATTTTGAATTTTGTCAAAAATTTTATGGAAAAATATTTTCTCTTGCTGTACCTACATCTCTAATTTTGTCACTTGACCCTAAAAATAAAATACTTATCCTTTGGCCCTTTACGGAAAAAACTCTGCTGGCCTCTCGTTTCCATCCTACAGACTTAACCGTGAGATACCTTTCATTTGTCCGTGGGCCCTCTCTACCCTGAGGAGCTAAGGACGTGAAAAATACTATCTCACCCCACTTTCAGCTATTCATTCAATAATCAGAATCTTCTGGGAAGGTCAGTCCAAAGGTAAAATCTGAAAGGCAAAACTGAACGTTAGAGATGGAAAAAGGACTTACCTGGTTGGCACTGTAGTTCGTGGCCATGATCCTGCCACTTTTTGCTGTTTTCCTCTGTTGCCTGGCAACCGCAGAAGGCGGGCCTTCCAGGACTGCCGGGCCCTTTACTTGTCTCACTTTCCTGGATGGCACTGCCCCAACCTTTCCCTTGAAATTTAGGTTTGATTTCGTTTCAGAGATGTGAAAGACAAAGTAAATCAACAGGAGAAAATTATCTGAAGAGCAGACTTGTCTTTAATAGTATAACTTACCCTACTTGGGAACTTACAGATTGTCTTTGACTGTGGTCTTTAACCATCTCAACAAACCGTGGAACACTAAGAGCTGTTTCTGGGGCAGTGTGCTTTCACGTATAGCGGGCTTTAGAGCCAGGCGCTGGGGCTTGAGTCCTCACTCGGCATAGTAACATAGGAGCTGTGTGACATTAAACAATCGGCTCCCCTTCTAACTTCTGTGGACACATTTAGATTGTGAAGATAATAGAGCCTGTCTTTACAGGGTAAAGGAGATAAAATGTGAGCTGTCTAGTCGGTACCATTGCGTAGTGGGTACTCAGTATAGTGAGACTGAATTTATAGGCTTCACTACTTTGGTATTGGCAAGGATGAGGTAGTAGTAGGATCTAGTGGCGAGAGATTGGGCAGAGATGGAGAAACCATGGTATGGAAAGCACCTGATTTGGAGAGTCAAGTGGTGGTGCCAGGACACAAACCTAGTATTCATGGGACTGGGCCACCCCTCCAAGACTCCTCTAAAATGGCATTATCGTATCCATATCCTGGATTGTCAGAATTAATGAGAAAGTGAAACTACTTTATGAGTTGCAAATCTATTTATACATGAGATGTTAAGGTGAAAGGAAAAAACAAGTTGTTCAAAGAAATAATTGAGAACCAAGAGACCGTCACAAGGGATAGTCAGTCCCTCTACCTTCCTTTCCCCTCAAAGTCATCATCCCAACGAACACCAAGTATAAGAACACTCCTACACTTCAGCGCTCAGACACTCCATACACCTGCATACGCTTGTTCTGGAGGCCCTGGCAGTTAACATCAGGATAACAGATGTGAGATCTGGAAACAGGACTTGTGTGCTTCCTCCCTGTGGTTCTCGGCACTCTACAGTGATAACCTGCAGACCCGAGGACTCTGCTCTAGGGTATTCATTGTGGTCCTCAAAGCTACAGGGATAGTCAAGCAACCAGCTTTTCTCTTGGAACTTCTGTCATCAGCTGGTGTGCTTTTCTGATAGAGTTGTAATATTACCTGGTGACTGCATTCTTATTTTTTAAAATCACCTAGTTTTGGGATCCCTTGGTGGCTCAGCGTTTGGTGCCTGCCTTTGGCCCAGGGTGTGGTCCTGGAGTCCCAGGATCGAGTCCCACATCAGGGTCCCTGCATGGAGCCTGCTTCTCCTTCTGCCTGTGTCTCTGCCTCTCTCTCTCTCTTTCTCTCTCTCTCTCTCTCTCTCTCTCTCTGTGACTATCATAAATAAATAAAAATTAAAAAAATTTTAAAAAAAGGGGGCGGGATCCCTGGGTGGCGCAGTGGTTTGGCGCCTGCCTTTGGCCCAGGGCGCGATCCTGGAGACCCAGGATCGAATCCCACGTCAGGCTCCCGGTCCATGGAGCCTGCTTCTTCCTCTGCCTGTGTCTCTGCCTCTCTCTCTCTCTCTCTCTCTTTCTCTCTCTCTCTCTCTGTGACTATCATAAATAAAAATTAAAAAAATTAAAAATAAAATAAATAAATAAATAAATAAATAAGGGGATCCCTGGGTGGCGCAGCGGTTTGGCGCCTGCCTTTGACCCAGGGCGCGATCCTGGAGACCCGGGATCGAATCCCACATTGGGCTCCCGGTGCATGGAGCCTGCTTCTCCCTCTGCCTGTGTCTCTGCCTCTCTCTCTCTCTCTCTCTCTCTCTCTCTCTGTGACTATCATAAATAAATAAACAAACAAATAAATAAATAAAATCACCTAGTTTTTTGTTTAGTGGAAAAAATAACGTACATGTGGTGGGGAAGGGATAGTTGCAGTTTTATGGGAGGATGGTTAATGAAAAGCAAATTTCTGACTTCAGCTCCCAGTCTTGCCCCTCAGGGGCGATTGCTAATTGCTGTTCCTATAGTAACTACTTTTACTATGTTCTTGTGTAGCCTTCCAGAAGTATTCCATGCATTCTAACACTAACACTGGCAAGATATCCACATTGTTTTATGACTGCTTTTTTGACTGTCTTGGGGAATTTTTTTTCATGGTAGTATATTATTCCATTTCCATTTTAGGATGCACCATCGTGTATTTATTTGCATTATAAATAATGGCCATTTGGATGGCCATTTAGGGTATCTCCAGTCTTTTGCTGTTATAGACATTCTCTATTTTTAAGATTATTTATCTGAAAGAGAGTGTGTGCATGAGCTGTGGCGGGGGAAGGCAGAACAAGAGAGAGGGGAGACAGATTCTGCTGAGTGGGCAGATCACTGGGCTTGATCTCCTGAAACTGAGATCATGACCTAAGCCAAAATTGAGTAGGACACTTAATGGACTGAGCCACCCAGGCACCTCTGTTACAGACATTCTTGCAGTGAAAAACTATATATATGCATGTATATCTTTATGAATAGATATATATATATATATAATTTTTTTAAAGATTTTATTGATTTATTCATGAAAGACAGAAAGAGGCAGAGCACAGGCAGAGGGAGAAGCAGACTCCATACAGGGAGCCCAACATGGAACTCAATCCCGGATTCCCAGGATCACGCCCTGGGCTAAAGGCGGCACTAAGCTGCTGAGCTACCCCAGGCTGCCTGATATGTATATAATTTTATGAACATATGTGATCGATAGGATACATTTCTAAAAGGGAATTTAGAATGCAAGTAGACAGTGTCAAGTTGTCAAAGACACTGTGCCAGGCTGTATGACAGTATATGAGACGGCCTGGTCCTCTATTCTGTTTCCACCACTACTCCTGTTTTTACTATTTCTGTCAATCTGATAATAAGAATGAACATAGTTACTATATGCCAGCCACGGTTCTAATTGGTTTTTATTACATTTTCTCATTTGGCTCTCATGACCACTCTAGGCAAGGAAACTAGGACATACACAGGAGTAGAGTGAGGATTTAATCCTAAGTATTCTGACTCTAGAGCCTTCGGTTTTAAGCATTACACTATATTGTCTGTTATGTTGGGGGTAAAATATGGTGTAGCATTGTTTTAAACTTGCATTTCTTGGGGATGCCTGGGTGGCTCAGTGGTTGAGCATCTGCCTTTGGCTCAGGGCATGACCTGGAGTCCTGGGATCGAGTCCCACATCAGGCTCCCTGCATGGAGCCTGCTTCTCCCTCTGCCTCTGCCTCTGTCTTTCTCTCTCTCTCTCTCTCTCTCATGAATAAATAAATAAAATCTTTAAAAAAATAAAAATAAAATAAACTTGCATTTCCTAAGTTCTGGGTTTTTTTTTTTATTATTTTGCATATGTTTATGAGCTTTTTTATTTCTTTTTTTTTTTTCCCCTAAAAATAACCTTCTCTGTCTATTGCTATTTGCTTTTGGGCTGTTGATTGTTTCTGTTAATCTGTTCATTGACCTCTTTGTATATTCAGGAAATTAGTACTTTTGTCAAACATGTTGCAAATATTTCCTGCCAGTGTATCTGTCATTTAATTTTTTGTTTGTTGGGATCCCTGGGTGGCGCAGGGGTTTAGCGCCTGCCTTTGGCCCAGGGCGCGATCCTGGAGACCCAGGATCGAATCCCACGTCGAGCTCCCGGTGCATGGAGCCTGCTTCTCCATCTGCCTGTGTCTCTGCCTCTCTCTCTCTCTGTCTCTCTGTGACTATCGTAAATAAATAAAAATTAAAAAAAAATAAAAATCACATTGTTTAAAAAAAAATTTTTTTTTGTTTGTTTGTGGCCTTTTTTTTTTTTTTTTTTTTGCACCATGGACATGTCTTTTAATATTTATGTAGTCAAATTTAATGCTCTTTCTTTCTTTGCTTCAGGATCTTATCCTTTGAATGGCTTTTTGGGTTTTGTTTTTGTTTTAAGATTTTATTTAAATAAAATTTATTTATTTATTAATGAGAGAGGCAGACACACAGGCAGGGCGAGAAGCAGGCTCCATGCAGAGAGCCCGATGCAGGACTTGACCTGCATCATGCACCCGGGATCATGACCTGAGCCAAAGACAGACGCCCAATCGCTGAGCCACCCAGGTGTCCCTGAATGGCTTTTTGTAAATTCCAATGTTTAAAAAAATAATTCACGCAGTTTGTTTTTATATTTAAATTTTTGTTCCCCCTCGAATTTATTTTGGTGACTAGACTGAGATCAGGCTCCAGATGCCTAACAAGTTGTCTGAGCATCATTCATGAATAAACCATCTACTCCCCTCTGACTTGAAATGCCACCTTTAATGTATTTATTCCTTAGTTTATCTGGATCTGGGGGATCCCTGGGTGGTTCAGAGGTTTAGCGCAGCCTTCAGCCCAGGGCCTGATCCTGGAGTCCTGGGATCGAATCCCACGTCGGGCTCCCTGCATGGAGCCTTCTTCTCCCTCTGCCTGTGTCTCTGCCTCTCTTTCTCTCTGTGTCTCATGAATAAATAAGTAAAAATCTTTAAAAAAATTTATTTGGATCTGTTTCTGGATCCTCTAACCCATTGTTCTTGGGAGAGAGGTGCTTATTTTAGGTTGTCTCTTTAAAATCCAATCCTGACTTGGTCCTGTGTGAATTCTTTAGTTAGAATTTCACAAACACTAGGAAATTATAGATCATAATAAGACAATTTCAAGCTTCTAATAAAACTGTATTCAAGTTTAGTCTTTCTTTAGATTGACTGGTGACTGGTTGCCTTCAGGCACCAGTGATGATGGTGATGATGGTCTTTCATTAGACCAGATTCAACCTTTTCAAAGTTGGAAGGCCTCATAAAGGTCCCATTCACAAAACATGCCTCAAGATATTCTCATCTTTGGCTTCAGTTCTCTGATGCCTGAAATTAGACCTCAGGAAATCTTTTTTTTGGATTACGATCATCCGCATGGAATTACAAGTGTACTTTGTTACCTATAGGTAGTGTATAAATTGTACCTCATCGAGGGCAACCACCTGCATGAACTCAGGAGTCAGACTGCCTGGTTTAAATTCTAGCTCTGCTGAAATGTGTGACCTTGGACAAGTGACTTAATGTCTCTCATCTCAATTTCCTTAGGGTGTGAAATGGGGTAGTCTTAGTTGTCTGTGAGCCTTAAACGTTTGTGACATGCCCCAGAGGATACCGAGGCATGGTGAGTGCTCAGTACTTTTGGCATCACTCAAGACCACCCAGTAAAAAGGGGTACTTACTCAGGTTATCTTAAACAGAAAAGGGGGAATTTATTATAAAGATATAGGAGATTTATAGCAGATCCCAAAAGTAAGTATAGTTTGAGCCTTACAGGTTCCTACAATGTGGAAGGTAGAATGTGGTCAGGAATAGAGATTTTTTTTTTCCATCTGTTTTTCACTGGAGTGTTTTATTTTCTGCAAGCCAGCCAGCATGATTTGTTAACCAGCTGGCAACCATCACCCTTAGATATCTAAGTTGGGCTTGTACCTTTTTTGCAAACTAGTCAGTCTTACTAATGTCATAGAGAATGAGAAGGAGGAAAAGAATATTGGTCAGTTTGAGTGGAGAAAGACCATAGAAGATAAAGGTTTCCTGCTTTTGCTTTGAACCAGTGGATCTTAAAAAAAAAAAAGAAAAAAGTAATAACTTTCCGACAACCAGTTACCAGTTTTTGTGTATTTTTTCAAAGGTTGTATGCCTATACAAGAAATAGAAATAATAAATAGAAACATATATTTTATTCATCCCTGTTACCTTTTACACAAATTATAACATACCATGCTACTTACATTAAGATTAGGAGATATATTTTGGGAGCACCTGACTGACTTGGTCAGAGCATGTGACTCTGAATTTCAGGGCTGTAAGTTTGAGCTCCACATTGTGTGTAGAGATTACTTAAAATCTTAAAAAAAATACACACACACACACATATATTGAATAGCATTACATATTAGTGAGTAAAGAGCCTTCTTATAGCTGGGTAGTATTATGCGGATGATGTGTTAGACTTTTTTGTTTTGTTTTGTTTTTTAGTGTGTTACACTTTAATCAGAATCCTGTTGTTGAACATTTAGTTTTGTTGTTGTGGAAACCATGCAGAGATGAATAACTTTGTACATGTGTTGTTTTGCATCTTTTTGTTTGTTTGTTTTGCATCTTTGTGAGCATACTTGTGGGATAAATTTGTAGAAATGAAATTATACAAAGGGTATTACATTTTTAAGTTACCTCTACACCCAACATGGGGGTTGAACTTACAACCCTGAAGTCTAAAGTCGTGCACTCCATCCTCTGAGCCAACCTGGCAACCAAAGGATGCTGCCTTTTTTTTTTTTTTTTTTAGATTTTATTTATTTATTTATGAGAGACACAGGGAGAGAGAGAGAGAGAGGCAGAGACACAGGCAGAGGGAGAAGCAGGCTCCACACAGGGAGCCTGAAGTGGGATTCGATCCCCAGGATCATGCACTGGGCTGAAGGTGGTGCTAAACCGCTGAGCCACGCGGGCTGCCCAGGTGCTGCATTTTCATAGACATTTCCCAGTTGTCGTCCAAAGAGGTTACAACCCCTCCAGCCACGTGTCAAATTCTCTGGCAAGTTTCGGAGTCTTGATAGAGCCAATTAGATCTCTAAGTTGTTTGCTTTCATCCCATACTCCTTCCCAGATATTAAAGGGTTCTAGAACAACTTCTCCCTCAAAATTTGCATTGTTAAAAAAAAACCACATTATTTGGTGCTTTCTAATTTGTAACAGCCAAAAGTCAGCAACATGTACTTCTGACCAAGTTACTAGCCCAACTCTGAACAATCTCTGTTCCATGGCTTCTGTATATTCCCTTAGAGTTCTACACACAGTACAGTTCTGTACCCAGCAAGCAGGAAAGAGATGGATGGCTGCAAGTACAGAAACTACTTCAAAACTTCTCTATAGATTACGAATTTCTTTTTTTTTTATTGTGAATTTCTGATTCTATTTTCTTCCCCTCTATTGGGAACTGCTATTATATCTCCCACACACACACACACAGCTTAAAAGAAGAATATTCTAGATCAGAACCCTTCCTGCAGAACCTAGAATGAGTTGTATACAACCAAAATGACTAGAGAGACTTCAGTATCTCACTAGTGATGATAATTAAATTTATATTTCTTTGCATAACTAAGAATAAACGAGGGCTGTCATGGAAACTGTAACATGATACCTGGGTGCTTGGACAACATGGAGGGTGGCCATAAAGTCTGAAAAACGATACTATTATTTTATCGTGTATTGAAATAGAATCTCCAGAAACCATTAATATGTATTCTTTTATGTTCCCAGGTTTCTTGGCAACCCTGAAATCTAGTACAGCGGTGAGGAGAGTTCAGGGAGAGTATGTGAGTAGACTAAGACTTCATTGTCAGGTACAGATGTTAACTAAGACTAGAAGGGATTTGCACAGGTTATGTACTGGAGGAGAGCAAGAAGAGGAGGATTAAGAGACTCCTAGATTGGGGTGCCTGGCTGCTAGACCATGTGACTCTTGTCCTGCGGTTGTGAGTTCAAGCCCCAAGTTGAACATAGAGCCCACTTTAAAGGTTATAAAAAGTATTCAGCAAGACATTAAAAAAAAAAAGAGAGAGGGACGCCTGAGTGGCTCAGTGGTTGAGCGGCTGCCCAGGGTGTGATCCTGGAGTCCCAAGATCGAGTCCCACATCGGGCTCCCTGCATGGAGCCTGCTTCTCCCTCTGCCTGTGTCGCTGCCTCTCTCCCTCTCTCTCTCCTCTCTGTGTATTCTCATGAATAAATAAATAAAATCATTTTAAAAATATTTTATTTATTTATTCATGAGAGACACACACACAGAGAGAGAGGCAGACACAGGCAGAGGAAGAAGCAGGCTCCTTGCAGGGAGCCCGACTTGGGACTCCAGGATCATGCCCCGGGCTGTAGGCGGCGCCAAACCGCTGAGCCACGGGGGCTGCCCAATAAATAAAATATTTTAAAAAGAGAGAGAGGGATTCCTAGATTGGTCTGCTGTTTCTCCATATTAGGAGTTTTGCAAACACACCGCTACCACATTCACAGCACCACCGACACCAGAGGTGTGTGTGGGTTCCACACCAAGCAGTTGTGTGATTCCACCTGGGCGTCCAACAATTTAGCTCATTTCTGACACAGTCCACCTAGAGATGATCGTGTCAGGTCCCTGAGGCAAAGGGCTCATTCCCACAAGGCTGCCCCCACCCCCACCGCCAACCACCCCCACCCAGTTCCAGTGTCAATTTCTAAGTCCAGATTGTGACCTCTGCTTCAGACTGCTACCTGTCAGTGAGAGGGTCTTATGACTCCCTCCTGAGTTCTGCGAGCCACTCAAGCCCATTAATCAAACTCAAGGAGGAGTTTGAGTTTACTTTCAGTTTCCCAGTTTGTTATAAAAGGATAAGATGAAGGATACAGGCATCCCAAATACAACAGAGGTGTGATCAATCATTAACTCCATTTCCAGCCCCTCCTCTCCAGAGAACGGGTGCGGGGGGGGGGGGGGGGGCCTGGAAATTCCAGTCCTCTAATCAGGTGACCAGACCCCATCCAGGAGCCCACCTAGAGTTGCCTCAGAACAAAAGACACTCCTATTACCTGGGAAATTCCAAAGGATTTAGGAGCCCTGTGTCAGGAACTAGGGCCAGGGACCAAAGATCAGAGCAAAAGGCACTCCTGGTGTTCTTCTCACTTAAGAAATTACAAGGGTT